CCTTCTCTTCCTTCTCTTCCTTCTCTTCCTTCTCTTCCTTCTCTTCCTTCTCTTCCTTTTCTTCCTTTCTTCCCTGTGCAGGCGGCCCCGCCACGCAGCGCCCGCTCCCCCTGTGGCGCGCTCCGGGGCCGGGCGGCCGAGTGGGCCGGGGTCGCAGGGCGGTGGCGTCCCCGCTGGCCGGGCCGGGCCCAGCTCTCCGGGTCCGCTGCCCCAGCTGTGAGGCCGTGGGCTCCCGGCTGTATCTGGGCGAGAAAAAAACAAAACAAAACAAAACAAAACAAAAGAAACATATTTGAAGACTTAAGATTTTATTTTGAAAGAATGACGACGGCGACAATAAACGCAGGCGAGCGGCTCCATTCCAGACGGCCCGGCCTCCCCGCACACACCAGCCGTCTCTGTCTCGGCCCGCTTATTCCAGTCGCCCAGACGAACCCTTTATACGCCAGATTTTTCTTTTTTTTCTTTCTTTTTTTTTTTTTTGAGACAGAGTCTGACTCTGTCGCCTGGGCTAGAGTGAGTGCCGTGGCGTCAGCCTCGCTCACAGCAGCCTCCGACTCCTGGCCTCCAGCGATCCTCCTGCCTCGGCCTCCCTCCCGAGTCGCTGGGACCACAGGTGTGCGCCACCACGCCCGGCTCGTTTTTGTTCTATATATTTCTATATATTTTTATATATAGAAATATATATATGAAATATATATTTTTGTATGTAACTATACATAAAATATATATTTTTATATGTTTATATAAACATTTTGTTTATTATATACATTTATATAAACATATATTTTATATATTATATTTTTATTATATATTTATATATTATATATAACATTTATATATAACATGTAAAACATACATACGTAAAACATTTTTTTATATACATAAAAAATATGTCTGGCTAATTTCTTTCTATTTTTTTTTTTTTTTTTTTTTAGTAGAGACGGGGTCTCACTCTTGGGCTCAGGCTGGCCTCGAACTTCTAACCTCAAGCGATCCTCCCGCCTCGGCCTCCCAGAGTGCCGGGACTACAGGCGTGAGCGTCTGCGCCTGGCTAATTTTTTTTTCTATTTTTACTTGTTTGGATAATTTTATTTCTATTTTTTCATAGTAGACACGGGGTCTCGCTCTTGCTCAGGCTGGCCTCCAACTCTTGACCTCGAGCGAGCCTCCCGCCTCGGCCTCCTGGCACGCGCCACCACGCCCGGCTCATTTTTTTCTATATGTTTTTAGTTGTCCAGCTCATTTCCTTCTATTTTTAGTAGAGACGGGGTCTCGCTCTTGCTCAGGCTGGCCTCCAACTCCTGGCCTCGAGCGATCCTCCCGCCTCGGCCTCCCAGAGTGCTGGGATGACAGGCGTGAGCCTCTGTGCCCGGCCCAGGGAAAAGAGTTTTGTGAATTCTGGCGGGGCCAGGAGATAGAAGAGCATGAGGCCAGAGAAGCAGAACTGACATCCCTAAAACACCCGCCTCCATCCCCCCGGGACTTAGGAAGGTTGTGAAAGCGAGGTCAGGAAACCCAGCCTGAGGAAGTGGCAACGTTTCTGTCTGAAGTCCGGGTTTGGGGCTTTGTCGTGTGGAATTTGAGCTCCATACTCTACATGGTACAGAAATCCTCGTCTTGAAGAATTTAGCACAGGCCGGGCGCGGAGGCTCACGCCTGTCATCCCGGCACTCTGGGAGGCCGAGGCGGGAGGCTCGCTCGAGGTCAGGAGTTGGAGGCCAGCCTGAGCAAGAGGGAGACCCCGGTCTCTATTAAAAATAGAAATAATATTAGCCAAACAACTAAAAATATAGAAAACGAGCCGGGCGTGGTGGCGCATGCCTGTCGTCCCAGCTACTCGGGAGGGAGGCCGAGATGGGAGGATCGTTATCGAGGTTAGGAGATCGAAACCAGCCTGAGCACGCGGGAGACCCCCGTGTCTACTAAAAATAGAAAGAAAAATAGCCAAACAACTAAAAATAGAAAAAATGAGGTGGACGAGGTGGCGCATGCCTGTAGTCCCAGTTACTCAAGAGGCCGAGGTGGGAGGATCGCTCGAGGTCAGGAGTTGGAGGCCAGCCTCAGCAAGAGCGAGACCCCGTCTTTACTAAAATTAGAAAGAAAATTAACCAAACAACTAAAAATAGAAAAAAATGAACCGGGTGCGGAGGCTCCC